TTAGCTTAGGAAATAAAGTGGGTCATGCAAGTATAATAAGCTGATTAGGGAATGCTTTTTACGATCGATTTTTGACAAGGGTCTTATACGGATCATTTAAGCATCTTATACTTTAAAGCATCCTATGCTTTAAAGTATAAGATGCTTAATAAACTTGAGCTTTATAAAAGTAGTTGAAGGAAAATTGGTTGAAAAAAAAAAAACGTTGATTAAGGCTGTATTAAATAATTTTTAACCGACTTCAAAAAAAGGAGGAGGTTCTGAAATCGACTGAATTTTTTTTTATGTGTATGTTACGCGTTGATTTGTAAATCGATTTTGATGATTCTTTTTTTGTTGCCCCCGTACCTCAGGAGTGGTCCCATTTAAATTTGAAGAAAATATTCCACCTTTAAGGTTGGCAAACTTAATAATAATAATAATAATAACAATAACGCACACACTCAACATTGCCCCGCACTAGGGAAATCCTGTGTCGCGGGTGCTATGGACAGACACATAGACAACCACAAATTACACCCAAACTCACGTTTGGCAGTCCGGCATGGTAACCGTTCGGCCACGGAGGCAGTCAAACTAGGGGATGAATGACTTTTGAGATCGGTTTTAGCACTCTGTACTGAGATAATATTTTAATTGCTAGTTCATCTCTAAATCCTATTTCTTTACATACAAACATTACTGTGTTATATCCATTTTTTGTTCCGCTAAATGCGTGAGTTTGCGTAGTCTGATAATAAAAGACAAAGCGATTATTATTCGTGTGGTACTCGATTACAATACGATCAATCTTACAATTTAATGTAACTTAAACGGTCTTTGTTATTCATTAACGCTCGTGTTACACTTCTTCGACTTAAAAACTGAATGGCTTTGAAGATTGATTACTTAAGATAATATAGATTTTTTCATACTGTTTTCGCATACTAGGCGCTAGTTGTTGAAATCCAGGAACTAATACCCAGTAAGACCAATTTGAAAAACAAACTTCTATTTTGGTTGTAGTATTTTTTTAATAGTATGAAGTGACGGCAAAAACAAGTCGTGTGCCTGATGGTAAGCTATACGCCTGTCCTTAACAGTTGCAATGCCCCTCAAAGCTTAAATCGCAAAGACCTGAGGGGCACTGCCACTGCGCCCGTCACCCTAAGAAACCGGTTGAGTAATTTCACCAGCACCCTTACCCTTAAAAACCGGAACACAGTGATGCTGAAAATACTGCTTGGCGGTAAAAATAGGTAAGGTGGCAGTACTACCCTGTATGAACTCTGTTACAAGGACTTCTACTGCTACTAAAAGTATGGATGTACGGGATAGTATACTCCTAAAAGCAAGTTTGCTCGGAGACTCAAAGTAGGAAATTCCAGACAAGGTAAAAAAAAATTCAGGTCAAAAATAATCCTTATTTGTTTTTATATAATTAAAATAATTCTTAATAACCTAGTGTAAGTAATGCGTAATCACGAACCAAAATTCTAAAGTTTAGTGGTATAAACTTTAGAACTTTGGTTCGTGATTTTGTTTTATAGCGGAAACGATTGAAATATTCGTTTTTGCTCGCAATTGAAGTGAAAAGCAAAGTTTTCACCTCAAGACTAAAAGCAAATACACACTCTCGGAGTAATAGACACCCTCAATAAAGCCCGAGTGGCTAACCAACCTCACCAACACCAACATACTCGTATTGGCTCGTTTTAATCCCTCGATAAAAAATATACTATTGCAATAAGGTTAATAAAGTTTTCTTATTCTTATTCTTAATGATTATGTTTACAAACAGAAAAATTTTCGTGGAGCAGGTGAGACTTGAACCCACGTTCATGCTGCACCGTAGCAATGCTCTAACCATCTGAGCCATAGGTCCAGTTACGAATTCGTGCAAATTCTCGTATGTGTGTTATAGATCTTTGTACCGACTTTTCAATAAATACATTTGATCGAAAAGCGACAGCGGCGTCAGTTACAACTATAAAGGTACCGGTTGCGGTGAGAAGGGTATTCAAAAATCTCTCACTAGATGTCACTAGCGGCGATGAATGCCGAAAGCCAGTACAACCGGGTTGACGGATTTTTTTTTGTGTATTCATAATCATAACAAAACCAGTGGAGTTATTTTACAAAAAATCTCAATAAATATACTATTGTAATTTAAAAAAACTTGTACCTACTTGAATATCCTTGTTACTACAAGTTGAGAACCAAGTTGACTTTTCTTATGCATAAAAGGAAGATAAGCAACTTTATTTGAGTCCACATTTAATAATAATTGAATATTTTAAAGTAAGTTACAAAGCCCATTTTCAATTTAAGAAAAAAACACAATTGAAAATCAATATACATAGGTTTTTCCAGCAAACATTCGAATTTGTCACCTACAAATTTATTACAATATATAAAATAATATTTTGGTATATATAAAACAATATTTTTTCTATAAATCCCCACTGCGTAGCAAGTACAAAGTTATGAGGATTTCTGGAATAAAATTTCATAACATATTAGGTTCCCTACCAGTGGACATTTGTGGAATAAACCGAGTGAGCCAAGCGAGCGTGTTGTGGCAGTACCCGGCGATTACCAGAAGCGAATTTGTTTGCATTTCTGAACATGTTTCATAAAAAATATACCAATTAAGCGTAAGGTTAAAAATATTTACACACTCCGAAATAATGTAACATTTCACTAGTATTACCTATACCGTCTATGCATTACGTTAGTTAATAATTAAGTCTAATCTTCGTTTTACTCAAGGTATTGTATACACAATGAAATTTAACTTTTTGTTGTCATAAAATTCCTAATTATATCACATGAGTAATTTTATATAAATTTTGAAATTGAAATTTTATCAAATATCGTCATACCAAGTGAATATAGATAAATTATTTATTATATCAATCATTACACAACCGGTTTTTAACGCTTTTATCACTAAAAATGTATTCTATATGAGGAATTAATTCAGTGAATTTATCAGTAAAATGTAAGTTTTATATATTCCATTGACACTGATACAGCTGCGTAGGGACACGAACAATATTGAGTATTCCGTTTGATTTTGTGACGCGTCATTTTGCGTGCAGCTATCTGTACAACATATCGAAATGGCGGTACTTAAAGATATTTTTGTCATTTAGGCAAGGCCGAGCGAAGACAGAAATATACTTAGCAACGGAAGATGTGGTTGAGATGTAATGTTTCAAACAGATGACTTTATGCGTATAAAAAAAAGAAAAAAGAAAAATAAGAATAATAATAGAGAGTAAACAGATGACATCTCCATAACATTTAACGTCACTGTGAATGATAACTAAAAAGACAAATTAGAAATCGATATTTTTCCATTAACTATTAATTTCATTTTAACTTATCCAACTGAAATACAAAAAAATATTGTTTTTTGTATTATTTTTATATTTGCTCTTCTTATACCCCTATATTTTACGTATATTACAGGTGTAAGTATTGATTTGTTTGCAAAAACAAATATACGAGATTTAGATCCGAAAAAATAGTTTCATTTACTCTTTGTTTCTTTATTTCTTAAGTCATACTATTTGTATGAAAAACAACGCAAGGGTAATATTTTCTACCGCTGAGTTTATATGTGGTAAATTATTTCGGGTTTTCGTGTATCTTCACCGAATGTTGTTTTCGTCGGTGTATATTTACACCGATTTATGATTCTTTCCAGCACGCTCTTTCCTGAAGTTCTTCATTCACCCTAACTTTTATTTGATATCTTAGGTTTATTATTCTCATATTCACTATACTGGACTTGGAATGACTATGTATTCGTAAAAAAACAAAAAAACGAAAATGCTGTTGAAACTTTGTTCATGAAATAAAAATAAAGTATTTAAAATCGACATTACGCATGTATGGTATTCTGCTTTGGCATTATAAAACGAAGGGACCTCATTATGTGTATGAATGCATACTTGTTATGCACAGTACCTGAAATTGAAATAAAAATCGAGCATCGCTGTTGATTTACTAAAATACGACGAAAATCGAAATCAAAAACAATTTTTTTTTTATTATACCAAGTGACGGGACGAACAAGTCATGTACCCGATGGTAAGCTGCACGCCTGTCCATAACCGTTACAGTGCCACTCAGAACTTTAAATCGCTTATATCTGAGGGGCACTGCCACCGCGCACATCACCCTGAGATATAAGTTGACAAGTTCCGTGTGCCTGTAATTTCACCAGCACCCTTACCCTTCTAAACCGGAACACAGTAATGCTAACATTACTACTTGGCGGCAGAAATAGGTAAGGTGGCAGTACTTCCCTGGACGAACTCTTTGACAAGGACCTCCACTGCTATTAAACGTCTCACTTTTTTCAATCTAAAATTATTTATTCTGTACACTCTTACCGCTCTATCAGCTAAGTTCTTCACTCTGCAATGTAAATAAGCTGGTTGTCCGACGGCCGCAGTGTATTCTCTCTTCGTGGTATTATCGAAGTAGGGTCCCACATGTTCGTTGGTATCAGTGGTGTTGTCCACCAGGCCGCCGTCTGTGGTGGTGCCGCTGCTTGGTGGATGGATGATTATGTGGTCGATGTCATCGACCCCACCGAAGGATGTGCCTGCTAAAGAAAAGAAAATAATTTTTAATACAATTAAAAAACAGGATGACAATATCTCGAGGATGTACAAAGTAATAAAAACGATTATAGCGCAAAACGCTTCTAATATAAACTCGTTACAAGCGATATTGTTAATGTGTATTTCCTAGTGGGAATAAAAAATATAACACGTATAAATTGGAGACAGGTTTGAAGTTAATCTACTTTAATTCTCGACCTTCTTTATTAAATAATTTTCGGTAAGAGTGGCGAAGTCGCAATTTATGACAAAGCTCGTTAATGAAGAAATATAAATGAATTAACAATTGAATTTGTAATGCAATATCCAAATTTTAGTAGAAGTAGTAGAAGCGTATTTGATTTATATTTTTTTATATAACCATGTGTGGGTGTGGTTTTAAATATAATAAGGTTAGGTTATAGGGTACATAAATATAAATTTAATTAAGGAGTTCTTTACTGTTGGTGACTTGTGCACTGTGAATAGACACCAATAGTTTCAGGAATACTTTTTTATTATTGCTAACTCGTAATAGTCAGCTGAAGAAGTGACTTATAAATAAATAGATCTGTTACGGACACCGATCCACGCACAAGAGCACTCCGCGCTGACCCGCCTGTTCTCTAACATCGTTACTACTTGAGAGACCAATAGTTGTACTTAAGTAAGAACATTTCAAGCAATAAACGTAGTTAGTAGTCAGTAGTAAGCAGTTGAACAAGTTTCATTTCCGATCCTGATCCTGAGAAAAGCAAGAACCTGAACAGATATGGAAGGAATCAAGCAAGTATTTCTGGCACAATGAGATATACGCTTAATTCATGCCCTATCTAGAGAAGCCTAGAAGTAACTATAGATAATATTTCTTGATAGGCCCATGACCATTGTTGGGTTTCTATAAATGAAATAAATCTTTTCGTACAAAAGTATTTTATTTAGTAGTTTAAACAAATAATGCCATAACACGTGTCAACAAAAAGAACAACGTTTTTTTCAAAGCGCAAAGGCAGAAACAATTTTATATTCAACCTTCCACCTCGCTTTGATTATTACATAAGATTAACATATACAATACGCATTAACATTTAACAAAGTATCTGTTGATAAAGATTATTTTAACATGTCTGCTAAATTATCATTGCTATTAAAATAAGTAACAGTTATTAAATTATTTTTAACCAAATCTTCAATAAAATGATGTCGAATATCAATATGTTTCGATCGCTTACTATTTTCAAAACTTTTAGTAATACAAATCGCTCCAATGTTGCCCATCTTAATATAAGGAATCACATTACATCCAAATTCCATAGAAAGACCTTTTATATTTTGTAACTCACTAGCAGTAGTGGCAGTCGCAATTTACTCTGCCTCGGCGATCGACAACGCTACACAATTTTGTTTACGTGAAAACCAAGATATTGCTTTATTATTAAACAACACAACACTTACACTTTTCCTAGATAGTCTATCATCTGCCCAATCAGCGTCAGAGTAAGCTTCTAGCCTGATAATATTATCACTATTTCTCTTACAACACAGTTCATGATTTTGAGTATGTTTTAAGTAACGAACCACTTTTTTCGCGCTTTTCCATGTAGGTACTCTCATTAGGTTTATTTAAAAATTGACTGAAGCAAGATACTACAAAACTGATATCAGGGCGTGACACAGTTGCCATGAACATTAAATTGCCAATTAATTCTCTGTACGGTACCGTTCATATCTATTTTAAATTTATTCTCTAATCTGTTAGTCGCATGACATCTTTTCATGACAGAGGTTCAAAGAAAGATTCTACGAAAAAATTTAGTCGATAACTTTTTTATGTTGATATAGGAGAGTTATAAATTTCACATTTACATAAATTTTGTTTTATGTAGTTCGTGTTATTTTCATGACTTTCATATAATAAAAACACGTTTGACTTATGACCACACGCGTCATGTGGTTCGCTGTAATGGGGTGCACGAAAGGAGCCTCTCCGCATGACTTACAATTCCTTTCTTGTATGTCTGGAGCCTTCTGGGCAACAATCGGCAAGTACCTTAAGTCCATTGGCAAATCCTTTCCAACCATTGATTTAACTAAACAAAAAAAGGTCAGTCTTGCAGAAACCTTTTTAAAAAAATGCCGTGCTTATGCCCGTCACAACTTGAGTACTTATGAGCGACGTACAGGCGGAGGCCGAGAGTTGCGAAACGTGGGAAAACTAAATTCCGTTGCCCACCGTACCGAACTCGCAACGAGAAATCCGCAGGTATTAATAGGTCCCCGATTCTATCCCCAAACCTGAAAAGTGTTACAAGTGACGAAACGTTTAATACTCCACTAAAACTTCTTTTATCGGATAATTAAATCTACAGTGTCGATGAGTTTCTTTTGAAACAATTTGAAATATTTTATATTCATTATTATTGTTTGCGTTAGTGGCGATCATATTATCCCATGACAGTGTATTTTTAATTGTAATATTGTGACATTGATAATATGAAATAAATGATTCTAATAGAATATTGCATTCGTTGACAGCTCGAAATCTTATGAATTACCTAATGCGTTTCCGATTACATTTTTTATTACAATCGATTCTATTTATGAAGAACTTTTAATCGTGAATTTGAGCGGGTTCCAAACACAAGATATTGTCTGATGTTGCGTTTGACAATTTGTGTACTCAAGAATTAATAACTAACGTTAATGAGGTTTCAAGTGATGATTCCCGTTCATATGGAGAAGAATCCGACGGTACATTTATAATAAACAATAAGAATTTATCATAATTATTTATAATTTATTTCATTTCATTATAATTTATTAGACAGGTAGGTTTACTAACTTGAATAATGTTTGTTTCATAATCTGTTTGCTCGCTAAATATCGGAGCTAAAGCGCACGTCGCTTTACTAAAATTAAAAATAAAAGAGTCCAGAAAGTATTGCATTTTTGTCTAAGGTAGTATGTCAATAATTACGAAACTTCGGAGGCATGCATATGTCAAAAATTTGGTTGGACGAAGTATAAGTATTTTAGTATTTTCTGTAAATACTTCTCTTACACATACTCCCAACACACTCACTTGCAATTCACCAACACTATACATACTGTCAAACACAAAATGTAGGCCAATAGCATCGCGCCTTTGATGTAGTACAAATACGGAATTAAAAATAATACCCGACTCATTGCTCCACAACCACAACCCAGGCAACCAATGAAGGGGAAGGAGAAACGTAAACTCATCTCTGGAGCTGTTTCGTCAGTACCACCGAGACGAGACCAGTGCGACGAGGACAGTTTTTAAAAGGTGTCAATCATCTGTTGCATCCAACAGTACCGACGACGTTACTATACGTGTCACGACTTCATTACTCCATAAAGTCTGCGGACATTGTGGAGTACATACGGGTGAAAGCCAATGTTGCCCCGAGGTGCGAGCAGTTGGAGTCCCGCCACAATGTGCATTTGAATTAATTTGTGGTGAGAGTGCCAACTCAACATCTGTCGACCTTCGTGAAGGAGAACTTTTGTCCGAAGAAGGGTGTCATTTCCGTTTCTGAGGACGATAACGGGACACCAACGTTGCGTCACACGTCGCGGACTATGAGTGTAAAGATGTATGTTAATATATAAGGTACTTTATGTATTTATGGGTTTTTTCGAACATGAACATAAATAAATAAAAAAGATAAAAAAAATTGAAATAAATAAGAAAAAAACGGTAATAAATAAAATTATGTGGCTATATTATAGTACAAAGATACGAAGCACTTTAATGCATGACGTGAGTTCTTGAAAACATCTCAGACGATGAGGCATATTGTAATTAATGACTGTGTGTTACTCAGAAGCGAAATTGTTAATTTTATTACAATTTTTCGTCAAGGACGTCGACACAATCACGCATTGGTTGAAGAATAATTACTCTGGTGGTATAAGGAAGTATGGCGTGGTAATTATAAATGTTTTTGTGACAAAGTAATAATGAAATATTTAACGTATAATACAGTTGAACAAAGGAAAAGATAGTATTTATTTTAGCTTTTATTCAAATAATTATAGTAAACTTTAAATTTATTTCGAAATTTCTTGACACTTAGGCAAAGTACGATCTTTCAATGCGAAAAACTTTATTATTATTATTTATTATTACTTAATAGTTTATTGTACAGGAAAAATACAACAAGTCACAAAGAATGCAAGCGAAAATAAAAACAAAAGGTTCTGCTTATTTCTAATAGAAATTTCTTCCTGCAGACCTAAATACACTATAACTAAAAGAACGGGCATATGTGCACAACAACACAAGGAAAAAAAATAAAAAATAATATTATATATAAAATTGTTATAAATTATATACATACTTAGATAAATACATATTTTATAATATAATACCTAAGATATGGATGGAATAGTAGATAAATAATGCTCTCTAACACTCACTTTAAAAATAGCTAACGATTTACTTTCGAGAACTGTAATAGGAAGTGCATTCCAAAGTCTGACCACATGAACAGTGAAGGAGTGAGAATAGAAACCGGAATTGAAGCATGGAAAAGATAACTGGGACCTAACAAGAGAGCGACAGGGTTTATCCTGGGACCTAAAGAAGCTGAAACGCTCTTTCAGGTACCCGGGAGACACAGGGTTATGTAAAACATTGTAAAGAATGGAGACAATATGCAAATTCCTGCGGAGACGGATGGGAAGCCATTTGAGTTGACTGCGGAAATGTGAAATTCGGTCATATTTACGAAGTCCAAAGATGAACCTTATACTTTCTTAACTGACTATTTCTTCTTAGCCAATTTTTTTTATGATACCATGTGACGTGACGCACAAGTCGTGTGCCTGGTGGTAAGCATTATATTATAAAAAAAGCAACGCGCCTGTACATAACAGTTGCAGTGCCACTCAGCGATTTGAATCACAATGATCTGGGGGCTCTGTCGCTGTGATATAAGTTGACAAGTCCGATGTGCCTGTAATAAATTTCATTAGCACCTTTATCCTTTCAAACCGGAACGTGATGCTGCTCATACTGTTTGGCGGCAGACGTAGGTAAGGTTGCAAGACTTCCGTCGACGAACTCTTTCACAAGGAACTCTACTCCTACTATTAAGTCATAGTTCGTTATATTTTTTTTTTTTAAATTTATTTATTCAAAACCAACTTAAACTAAAAACTTATATTAAGACTACTTTCAAAAACCCTTCAAAGGGTTTAATATAAATATCATAGTCTTAATTTTGGATGTCAATTTGCAATGTTGTCGAAATTTCTGGTTGTTACCGCGCTCTGATTCTACATTATTTTTCATTTTATTACGTATTACGCAAGAGTTAAGGTTTGAATTACAATATATTTTTTACCTAATAATTTTGTAAAATTAATAGGCTATTGTGATAGCCTGAATTAAAAAATGTATAATAAGGATACCTGGAACGTTTAAGCCTGTAATTTTTCTGCTTGTTTTTTTGTTCTTTATACAGAAGGTTAAATATATTGAACTTATTCCATAATGTAGGTATTATTACGGAATTCAGTTAGGTTATTGGAAACTTTTATTGCGAGATCATTTTGATAACTGTGAATTTGCTATTCACTTGAGGTATAATAGATAAAGGGTATTGTTACAAACTTAAATGACGTACATAAATTGTAGCGTGATGTGCGAATACACACACACACACGCACGCACGCACGCACGCACGCACGCACGCACGCACGCACGCACGCACGCACGCACGCACGCACGCACGCACGCACGCACGCACGCACGCACACACACACACACACACACACACACACACACAGTAAATGATGTAGCCAAGCCAAGCAGTAATGTGAACTTTACTGCATTCCGGTTTGGAAGGGTAAGGTTGCTGATGAAATTACAGGCACATGGGACTTGTCAACTTATGTCTCTAGTCGTCGAGTACTGTGGTAGTACCCCTCAGATCTTTGCAATTTAAAGTTCTGAGTGGTACTACAATTGTTATGAACAGGCGTGGCGCTTACCACCGCCTGGTGTTACGAATTGTTCGTGCCGTCACTTGTTATCATAAAAAAAAGATTATTTTACAACGGTAGTAATTTTAAGTACAAATATAATTATTTTCTTTTAATACATTGCCTCTCTCTTTTATGATCTTTAAGATATCCAGAAAGGTGAAACGTAATAACCAAAAAAATTTCAATTCTTACGAGTTATATTTGAAATTGTCACATTAATTAAATGTTCATTCGTAAGGCATACCTATTCACAAGTAAGAAACTTTAGGTGTTGCTCTTTTTTAATAAATAATTGTACATAGCATATATTTTATTTAATTAAATAGTATGATATTTTTCTACATTAATTATTCATATATTTTTTGTGAAAATACTACACTAGTGTGTTATTATAAAGGAAAATTCCCTCGATTCGATTGTATTGAAACCGGCGTCCGTTTGCCAAGTAATATTTTGTTAAGTAGCTCCTTCTTGGCGAACAGACGCTGGTTTGAGTCCAGTCCAGGGAATTTTTCTTAGAGTGGTTCGGTATTTTACTTATTTCAAAATTATTATCGATATAATCTGAAAGAGTTAAACGGGTCATGACCATGAACTTTTGTAATTCAAGTACGAAGAAACTGGCACTTTCCACGGAGTGCATTACTTGGAGGTTTTACTTTGTATTATATTGAGGTATGTGGAATATCAATAATAATAAATATTAGACAACATCACATGCGTTGCTCTGATCCCAGCGTAACTAATTCCCTGGTGCTGTCAAAATCGGAAACAACGTCGATACCACAAACACCCAGACTCGAGACAATGTACAAAAGTTAGTTTTCTACATTGGCCCGGTCAGGAACTGAAGCTTGGACTTCAGAGATGGCGACACCATGAAAACCGGTGTGCAAGCCATTGAACCTCTGAGGTCGTCAAATAATTGTTTGTTTCTTTTAAGAAAATTCTTGCGGACTTACAGCTTGACCAACACGCCCAGCAAGCTATTGGACTACAATGTTGATTATAAAATAATAATAATTTGAATAATAAAAGTGACAAACACAAAACAATACTAACAA